TGAAAGTTTAAATGAAACTGTGTTGGCAATTCATTCCGGAGGGCGTCAAAGTCCCCAGAGCATAAATAAAGCGATTCTCAAGAGACTTGGTGAATTCAAAGCAATGTTTTCCAATTGTGAACATAAATAAAGGGGATACAAATAGTTTCATAGCATTTAAAGTGAAAATCTCTCGTTATATAAGCAAAGGAATCACGTAGCAAGCCATAGACTTCCGTGGTTATCATATGGTTTATCTTAGACTTTGGTGAGGTGGAGAGTTGAAACAAAAATATGTGTATTTGTGTTGAAAGAATGCATGTTTTATGCTTTATTACATGCTGGTGACATATGACATAATGCACTTGACGATGACAGCGAAGTTTTCCAGGAAATAATTACATTACATCCTCTAGCCATTTTTCGTTATTTGAAGCCCCATCCTGGCTTTTGTCGGGGGCCCTGAATATAGCTGGGCCACAACTGTGGCCATTACGGCTGAATGGGGTTTCTGGGACCTCTCCGAGGGTGATCCTCATCCGCAGGGTGGCACTTTGTGTCACCGGGTGTTTATCGTTTGTGTGTGCCCGTCTCTCTAGCGTAGTTGGCTACACCGGATTGCGCGGTGAGCGGGTGACGAACTCCTTGTGGTCCGGGTTCACTCCCGGGGGTGGACAGAAAAGCCACATTTCTCCCAGATTTACGGTATTTAAAAAGGAATCAAGGCCGAAAGGTTGCGATATCCATAATACCGAGCCTAAGGGTTAACAACTCATGGCTTCTGGTTACTAAAACAAACTTCGCTTGTGTGGGTACAACAAGCAAGCAAGAAAATACATTATGTAAAATTTACTTTCTGTTTTTAATGTTTCAGGTATGATGCGTAATGTCGAGAAGTGAGGAATGAGTTTATTTCACAGAGCTATCATTCCATATGGCTAAGTCTCTCCCCTCAGAACAACCATCAAGCTATCGAGAGTTTCGCGCAAAGCAGGGACTCTGTAACTCCGACAACAACGATCACTTTAAAATTGCACTCGTGAACCAGCGACGCGTCCCTATATTGCAGTGCCTTTATAGTGCATCCAGTCTACAGGCAAAGCCAAAACAATAGAGATAAAATGTCTTAGAATAACTGCAGGAAGATTCTAAGAATAGCTACAGGAGACAGAGAGATAACATAAACAATTAATAAATTTGAAAAGGACTTTTAAACCAGTCATAAAATTATTAAATATAATAGTCCTTAGACCCAAATGTTCTGGTATCATCTACCACAGACAGACACGCTGAAGACATTAAAAGGACTTGGAGCAAGGGAAGCGCATGCAAACAATGGTACGACGGCATTAAGAACATAAAACGAACCCACGTTAAGCAGATCGTGAGGCAAATGTTTCAACCACTGAACCACCGGGATCTTTCTGATGAAAATTTCCAAACTGCTGCTCTAGTAGATTCTGGTTAGTTTTGGTTCGGTCAGTCTACTCTGATGGGTTTAGATGAGCCGTGTTAAGAACGGACATCACAGCACTCAAAACGATTATATGAGCGCTGTGTCCTTCTCTTCAGCAGCTAAATCAGTGTTTCATTTTCGAAGGTGCCGTAGTAAGTTGATTACACTAGTGAGCAACCAGATGGCTTGAACATATTGTCAGAAATTCAAATGACAGAGAGGTAACAACTGTAGACAAGCTAGCTGAATGGTCGTAGACCACGTGGCAGACCAAGAAGACCACGGAGAGATAACGCTAGACAGACCTGCAAACGCTTAGTGCCACCAACTAGAAAAAGAAGGCCAACCAGAGATAGGAGAGTGATAGTGATAGCTGGAGCAATAAACCTCAAGGACTCGTAACACTGAAGAAGAAGAGGAAGATATCAAAGATAAAGATAATCCAAATATCCCCTCTGTTATACGTCATGGGTTGTCTCCTCTTGATGTAAGGATTCAGTTCTCATCGTGTGGTTTTTTCTTTGCTGGGGTTGGTTCTGCAACGTCCTGTAAAGGACACGTAACTGTTTTGATTAAAAAATATATATTCCATAGACATAATTTTTAAAATATTTGCTTGTGCAGTTCGACATTCGACGTCTATCCATGTGTCGTTATGATACCGGATACTTCACCACATCAATATGCCTCAGACTAGCCGATATGCCTCAGACTAGCACCATTCAGGAGACAACTGTAAAACGACACCTTCATAAGACAAGAACTTCATATCAAATGAGATGTTTTCACCAGACATTAACACCATACACGTTAGTTGCCTGGTCCTCGCAGGACGTTACAGAGTCAGTCCCAGCATTACAGAGGGTGCTATTTGTGATTTCACTAGGCAATTTAACGTCTTAGTCGTTTGTCATTGCGTTCATAGACACTATGCAGGTAGCCAAAGAAGAGCAGTAAGCAAACACAGAACAGGTAGAATCAAATATGGGATTTGAGGGCTTATGAACTTGCTCGATGTGGGACGATAGTTACCGTCAATTAACTAATTCACTAACTACCACATTTTACTTTGATGTTGAAATTCGGATATATAGTCTACTTTACAATTATCGTTGATTCTTTTCCTCCTTCTTCTTCTTCTTCTCCCACCTTGTCCCTCAGCGAAGTGTCGGGGGAGATGTAACATTCGTTGATAAGCTCTGTCAAGGGCACTTTTAAGATTAATGTTCATTTCTGTAAAGCTGTTCGTAATGCCATCACTCCATATTTTCAGAGTTCTTCTGCACGCTCTATACCCGTTGTAACGTTTCAGTGTGGCTCGCTATGGCAGATAGTACCAAGGCATTCTTTGTAGGTGTCCAAACCACTTCATTTGTTGTTCTTTGATAACCTGTAAGACTGGCTTTATTCCTAGCTTTCGTCTGATTTCGTATTCTGTCTTTCCTTGAATTTCCTGTAGCTCTTCTAAGGCATTTCATCTCCGTTGTCACAATTGTACATTCATTAGAGGATGTAGGTTTCCATGTTTGTTTCATTTTCCCCCACTATCCAGAAAAACTTTGTCAAGACTTCCGGTTAAAATGGAGGAACAGCAAGTTCAATGGTTTTAGTAGTGGCACATTTTTGCTTCGGTGGTGGTTGTATTATCCTCAATTTGTAGACTAAAAAGATTTAGTTTCGTCACCCAGCTACTGAGCTGAGTACCTGGCGCAAAACTATGAGCTGCGGATTTCATTTCAAAAGTATTCCAACTGTGGCAGCGTGGTGTTGGGACTTGTAGATTCGGAATGGCGAGTGGCCTGTTGACACGTAATTGGTGGTGATTTATGCAATTAATCGTGTGTGCAGCTAATGATCTGAGTGTAACTGCTGCTCCCATCAACGATAAACTGCATTTCTTGGTCGGTCTGTTTGTGTTAGCACTTCTTACGGCTGCCTTATACTTTTGATGCGTGTCTATGCTAGCAGATATTCGTAGACTGCAGTCTGTGTCAGTTTTGCCTACATGGGATAATGGATGGACATTCTGTGTGATTTTCGCTAGCGCAAAAGCGGAGCAGCTATGGGACGACCCGTTTGTTATTGAGCTGAAACTACAATGACCTGACTTCCCTTGTCTTGACTTAGAATTAAATATATCTCACAAGGTCATAAACATAATTTTAATGAAAAAATAAACATCTGAGTTTGTATATAAAAACAATAAACGATAATTCTTACCACGGCCTCACAGAATCTTTCAAATATTAGACCAGATGTGAACATGCATTTTAAAAAAATGCAGTGTTGAAAACTGCGACAACGAGATAAACTTTATATACACATCCTTATCCATTTAAAATGTAAAGGATCCTTTTTAAAAAACTAAGTATTCATTCGAGCTATCCAGTTAATTTATAATTTATTTGATGTATTTATTGTGTGATACTATGTGATTCTGTGACATTTTTCCCCCCGATTTCTGTGTTTGCTCTTGGGGTACTGGGCGTGTTTGCACCTTAAGCCATGGGGGACAAAACACAACAGGAAGGCTTATGTTGAGACTGCGAGGGTGTTTACTTACCACGTTACCAGAAGAAGATCTCAATGGAAGATCTAAAGAATGTGGATGTCTCTGTTTAATTGTGGTTTGACATGTCCCGGGGAACTGGCAATGTGTACTTTTTTTTTTCCTTTCTCGGGATGGAGGTCTACGAACGATTCGGTGATTTGGGTTTTTTTTTTTTTTTCAACTTCCTCATTTTTTATTTTTCTTTATTTTCTGTCACTTTATTCCATATTCCACCCTAGGACTGCAGTTTGAAAGTTTGACATCCAGTGACTCTATGAGCCACTCTATGGGTTTTTACATGCACACCAGTTTTACAGATCTGGCCTTTTTTATGTGGACTGTTGATCGCTAGCCTCTGGTGCAGATGTACTCTGATTTCAAAGGAAAGACCCCTAATTATTCGACTTTCATATGCTTGTTAGAATGCTTCGGCTCTGTGGCTAAGTCGATGCGAACGCTTCATAATGCCGGGATGCCGGGTTGGATCCCAGCCGCGGGCCATGCGCCTTACGTTGGTTTCGACAGTGGTATCAAGAAAGCCAACCGTCCAGAAATGATGGCAAACTACTGGACGTAAATTTGCCTAGAAAAACCACACAACAGCCGGGG